ATATATATATATCCTTTTTTTTTAGCTTTTCCTCAACACCAAAGCTTGGGTTCAATGAAAGATTCGACTGAAGATTCGAATGCATCCAAGAGGAAACGACCTGTCACAATCGGTATTTTTTTAGTAATTTTATATAAAATGCTTATTAAAATTATAAGCTAATTATTTTTATAAAAAGCTGCTTTCAGTCATATTTGTAAGTTGTTCCTTGACTGAGCATGTTTGTTATCGTGATTCATAGCTGATGCAATTAACCGAACTCCAAAATAAATGGGTACAATCCATTTAAAAACTAGTAAAGGGCAAAACCACGATAATTGGACAAAAGTGTCCTCCTTGGAACAAAATATGTTGATGTTATTATTTTGCATTATTATTATTTCTTCATAAATACTTAAGCAGCAAGACAAAATACTTTTGCATCAAAAATGAAACATCAGGGAAATGGATAATTCCTTGATGTGGCCGAAGGGACAATTGAGGTCACACTGTTTTACTAACAAATAATATATTTCCATTATATCTATTGACTTTTATCTTTTTCTTAAATACAAGTGTGTTTAAAAAGTTTTTAAATATATAGTTAGTGAATCCAAATAATAACGAAAAACTTCTTCTGCCACAAATAATTTAGTATAATTAATTTTTTTAATGTTTAATCTTAATTAAATTTCTCTTCATGAGATATTTAACTCTCAAATAGACCTTCTTTTTGTACAATTTTTGAGGATGTTGACCCTGTAAAACTTGATACATACAGTAATTTGTTTTTAATAATACACTGTAAGAATTTACTGTCAAGTTTATGAGCAGATATTTACAGCAGTGTACACTTTATGTTCATTAAAAAGAAAGAAGGAAAAAAAGAAGAAGAAAAAAGTTTGTATTTCAGAAAAGCATGTAAAGAAGTTGAGGTAAAATTTTAAAAATAATTTTCACAACTACTCATTTAATTTAATGTTTTTTTTTAATTTTATTTCCAGATGGTTCATATAAAACTAATGAACACATAAACACTGTCGAAGATAAACGACCCCAAAAATCAAAAGAAGCTGCAACTCTTGAAAAGGATATAGAAAAAGGTAATTTTCACAACATTTACTTTAATATGTCATCTATATCATACCTATCATGCCTTGTTTTTGTTTTTTTAATGCATGTTATGATACGTTAATGTATTGAATATAGCAATTTTTCTTCGCATATTGCCTAGCCGCTTTTGCCCTCTGTAAGATTTTAAATGTTATTTCAAAAATTTGTGACAATGTAAACATAACTATTTTTTAAGTTTTATGCCTATATTTTATCCGAGTTTATGCAAATTCAAAAACTTTCTAAGTAAATAAAACAGCGGTAAAATAAATTTAAAAAAAAACAATTTTCGGTTTTAAGAAAACACTACTGTTGTACGCTCGTAGTAAACACATAATTTTAGGGTGTGGCAATTGCATACAATTTAATACTGACAGCATTTAATTGAACAACTATTTCTAATAAACTAAGACTTTATTACTTATTTTAATTAAAGTTTTTAATAAATTATATTACTAACAAATGTCTATTTACAGTGATAATGTAAAATAGCTATTGGATTAAAAAATGAGGCCTTCTAATGCCTCGCTCTTCTATTTTCCGGCATTAAATTAGTTACTCATTTCTAGGTGTGTCTGTAACTGGCTCATATATATATATATATATATATATATATCTACATATATATATATATATAAGAGACTCTACATTATGACCACCCNTATATATATATATAATGCACGTAGCGACGCTACGTGCATTATTTTTTGGTGTTGCAATTTCACTTTTGAGGAGTGTATATATGTATATATATATATGGAAACACTTCTATACTAACTCATTTTTTCATATTTCTCAAGAATTCCTCAGAGAATTACATTAAAACTTAAGAAGTGCTTAGGTCACGCGATTTCTCATACCTATAATTTTTAAAAGCTTTTGAGGTTTAAGGGACCGGCAGTTTTTGAACACCCTAGGCCAAAAAATACACCAATAAGCTTTTAATTTGCATCAATTACTTTCGTTATTATATGCAATAATTGCGCAAAATTTCGTAAACTTAGCTCAAATATTCATGGAGAATAAATTTGAATAAATAAATTTGCTTTCTAGTAATTGTGTTCTGAACAGTAATTGGTAACTTATATTTAAAAAATCAGACTTGAATATCTTTAAAATTTAAGAAATTTCTAGCCAATTTCTAACTAGTTTTTATAAATTTGGAAAGGGAGTAGTAATGGTAAGGCACACATTTTATTTCGTACTATGAAACAAAGTTTATTAAAAATGGCATCGACATTTTATAAGACCATTTATGTTTTATTTCACATGTTTTCTTTCTGATACCATCACATGATGTCGTCCGGACCATCATTATAGGGTATTATCATTTTTTATTAAATTTATTATATAATATAAAATGAAATTTGTGGAAAACCCCTTACAATTTAGAGCATAGAGTCTCAATCTTTTTAACGTTACCGCCCCCTTAAGGAGACAAAAAAATTTCAACATCCCCTTTGTGAAAATCCAATTATTTAGAACATGAGAACGGAAGGGGGTGCTGAATTATAAAAGGCAACATTTTTAAGCAATTTTTTATGAGTTAAATTTGTTAGGTTTTTTTAAAAAAGATTAATGTGCACATTAACTTGATACTTTTCTCTCGGCAGGTAATCACAGTCTATTTGTTATAATCAAAATAAATCAAAATAAAATCAAAATAAAATCAAATACGATAATGGAAAAAAATACAAAGAAACCTATGCTTAAAAAGAGTTATTTAATCTCAATTAGATTATTTAAAAAACACCAAAAGATACATTTTTTACACTAAAAGGTAGTATCAACGAAACAATCAAGTAACTATGTCAGCGGGATTATTATGATTGATGGTTCAGAGCCAGTTTCTTAATGTTCAGTTCAATATTTTTAGTGAGGTGAAGACGCAAATCCCCTAGTTGCACGATTTCGAGTCGATTTCTTTTTACTTTTTCCGTGTTTAGATCCGTTGCAGCACTCAATTCTTGCTCGACAAGGTAGGAGGAAGAGAAGGCAATTAAAAAATTTTGAGGATAGTCCACAGTCCGACTGATGTTACTTTGCAGCCAAAATTCTGCGAGACGATCACCATTCTGGAAGCTAGCTTTCAAAGTTTCATTAGTTAAAAGTTCAACCAATTCCTCCTGAATCTGAACCTCTGCTGTTTCAATATTCACAAAAGGTTTCATAAACCATTGTGGGACTTCCAGGGACAAAACATCTTTAAAACGGTCAGAAAAGTCCATGTGCAAAGACTCAATGTGTTGACAATATTCTTGTGCATCATCAGAGGGGATTTCCCCATTTAAGATCCGATAAAATTGGAAATTGGGTAAACTCATTCCTATCAAAATTCTGCTTACTCAAAATGAGTTTTTTTCAGAAAAGCAGAAATGACTGATTTTGCAGTGTTCAAATTAAGCTCGTCCCCTTGAAGTTGCAAATTCACGCCATTAAATATTGCAAATAAATCCGTCGTGTACGCAACGTCTCTCTTAAATTCTAGCTATCTGTCTTAGAGCTGCATCTCTGACATCAAGAAACTCAAGCACAGAGTCGAAGATTCCAAAATCTGTTGCGTCAGTCTCCCTTGGAAAGCGACCGAATCCTGGTGCGGTGTGCTGTAACAAGCGATAGATTTCTTCATCGTTTTTCTTACCCAGCAGATGTCTTAATAATCGATCGCTGAGAGCACAACTGCGAACTTTGTTTATAGCAAAGATGACTTATTCAGGGCGCTTAGCCAAATTACTCAACAAAAAATAAACACCTTTTAAACACTCTTCAAACACTCAAATAATATTTTTAAGCACTCAAAAAAAACACAATTAGGTAGGTAGGATTGTAAAGTTTTTGACAATTGACGGTTTTATCCGTCATGTCAAAAAATTTAAAAAAAACTTTCAGCATTGTTTTTGACAATTGTCAAAATTTTTTTATCGTGTAAATCGAATGGCGTTTTCATACGCTACGAACTGACGATAAGCGGAAATAGATTGGGGTTGAATTGATTTTGAAAACATTGAATAGAATAATGTGAACAGCGTCTTTCTGCATAATTCGTAGTGAAAATCAACATGGTAAAGGAAAAATCTCATTTTGGAAAATGGAAATTAAGCACTTTTTAAAAACACCCAATGAAAAAAGCACCTTTAAGGGCTTTTCAAAAACGAAAATCGAAAATAAGCACCTTAAAGCACTTTTTAAAAACGTTACTCACCCTGTTATTGCATGGACTGATGGAAACGGTGTCGCTGAGATTTTTTTTCCAACTGTCTATTAATCACGCAAAGATCAGCTAAAATATCTGATACGTCCAGCTTCAAAAGGGCGATAAACCCACCATTGAAGGAGCTCCATCAGTGGCAACAAGCCTAATATTCGCAAGAGGAATGTTTTTCTCTTCAAAATAATCTTTAACAGGATTAAAAATAGATTCACCTTTGGTATATACCATCAAGCTTCTTGCAAAAAGCATCTCTTGAAGACTCATAGAGCTTTCAATGAGAAAAAAAGTGCAAAAGCTGCTTAGAAAATTGCTAGAAAGTTTTTGCATTTTTAGGATATTCAAATGGGAATTTTTTCATAAGTAACCAAATACGATTCAAAAAAATAAAGAAAAAAATTTTTTTAACGTTTTCCGCGATGAGAGGATTACTTTAAATGCGGATATATTGCGCAATTTTGAACGAATTTGTTTCAAATTTTAAAATGATATTTTTATTACTAATTAAAAACTGCTCCAAAATGTTTGTAAAATTATATTGAATATTTTTGCAGTTATAGTTAGAAAATGCAAGGAAAAAAATATTTTTTATGAAAATGTCTGTATTTCTATAAATATTTAAATTAGATTTACGAAATTTTGTACTTTTATTGCATATGATAACCAAACTAACAAGTTACAAGCTTATCACTATATTTTTTAGCTTAATTTGCTCAAAAACATATTCTTTACATTATTAATTTGTTGCCGGTTCCTCAAACCTCTAAAAGCTGTAAACTTTATTGATATGTATGAGAAATCGCATGACCTAAACGCTTCGGATGTTATAAAACAATTTTCTAAATATTTCTTGAGAAATAAAATGAAATGAATTACTGTAGAAGTGTTTCCATAATTTTGTCCAACCGCTGTATATATGTGTATCCAGATGAAACTGCGTCTCCTCATGCGTATATGCGTACAACACGAAAAAAAAATTTTTAGTTCGAGAGAAATTCGCATTTAATGATGATTAATGCAAATAGCGTCATTAAATATCACCCGATTTTCCAGATAATTCCTCATTTAACTCTCAAATGTATCTTCTTTCGAATACAAAACTTAAGTAAATCACAACATTTCACTTCCTCTTCCATTGCATTACTAAGTCCTTCCTCCTCCTTTACGCTTCTTAAAAAATTAGTATTGTTTACATTTTCACTTAGCAACTCCATGACTTTTAGCTCTATTAAGCATTAGTCTTCCAATTCAGTCGTCACGTGACTAAAATTTGACAGATTGTTTTAATTAATCACAACTCAAAGAAATGCCTAGCTTTCCTAAAGACTCAATTACCAAAGGCTAAAATTAATAGTATTTTACCTGAAGGCTGCTTAAATTCTTCAGTGTTAACTAAACTTTGTATTGTTTACATTTTCACTTAGAAACTTCAAGACTTGTGGCGGCATTAAGCATTAGTCTTTAACTTTCAATTCAGTTATGACTGCGACTAAAATTTCAACAGACTTCACAACTCAAAGAAATGGGTATCTTAACTAAATACTTTATTAACTTGTATTTTACCTGATGGCTGCTTAAATTCTTCAAATATATATTTTTCATAAACAATTAGAATTTGAGTTACACTATCTTACAAAGCTGATACATGATTATTTCCTATTTTTATTATTGTATAATTCAACAGGCATAATACTTCATCCTTCTCATTTTATTCACTGAAGTACTAAAATTGACTTTTGCACTGCGATTAAGACTTATTTATAATTGATTCATATTCCTTGTTTTGATCTTTACTTTCAGAACAGATAGATTTTTTTATAACAAAATATAGCTCCATGATTCTTACCGCGTATATAAAATTCTATACTGCTTCTAACAGTATCGAATCTATAATTATGTTTTCGTAAGTGATGGGTCATATACTTATAACTCACAAAATGTATGTTAAGGTTTTGATTCTTTAAGTGAATTTGCATGCATTTCAAACAAAGAAGCAATTGCGTTTTTTTTTAAGTTTCTTATACCGAAAGAAAAACATAATTTATAGTTTATGGAGTATAAATATTGTTTACTTTTATCACAAATAGTTAAAGAAAGTAAGTCATCAAAATTTTTAACTTGTTTGGCTGGATATTTTATAATGTAATCAGAAACTACGCAATCTCGCCGCGAATTGAACATAAGTTTCTTTTTCTAATTTTTTGGCATTATCGAAATACATTTTTAATACCTGGGGGGTCATTTTATTTTAATTTAAGAACGCTTTAAGTGTTTACAATCCCTTAACTCTCTGAATTTAATCTTTAAATTAAATTTCCCATTTTTCGCCTAGAAATGTTTGTATTAAACTCCCTCTTAAGTTTTCTGGTATATTGTGACTTTCGAATGTATTTTTATAGCATAGAAGCATGGAGGTGCATGGCTATGATCGCTAGGCAACCATTAGGTACCATTGCCTTTAAGATATTAGAATATTCATCTTACAAACACTCATTTGAAATTGTATTTTCGGCCTTTATATTCTTACTTTTTCCAATTCTTTCACTTTAAGTTCATGCTCTAGCTCTTTTCATCCAGTTCTAGCTCTTTTAATATACACCCTACTTCATCTGAATTACTGCTGATCTTTCTTGTTAATCCTTTTGATATTTCTATGTTAAACAAAATAAACATATATGATGAAAAGGATAAATCAAAAGTAAAGGCTCAAATGAAAACTACACTGTTAGGTTACAGCACTTTAAATTATAAAATAGTTCTATTTTTGTTGCAACCTTAATATAGAACTAAATTAAACCCTATATGTAGGTGCTTGATACAATATAAAGATAAATAACATTTTATAATTGCTCTTCACAGCCTTTTTGGTGAGAAATTACGAGATTTCCATGTATGCAACAAATGTTTCCGTGCATTGCAGTGCTTTTTAACGGAAATTAATAAAACTTATGAAAGTACATTTCTGGAAACCATGTTAAGGAACAGTTTAACGTAAAAATAACGCCTTCGGAAAATGCTTGACTTATCACTATATTGCCTCAAAACCTTCATATATATATGAATTGTTTCGATATCACATTATTGTCGTTCAAAACTTGTTCGTGGTGGTCTCAGAAAATACTTAAGATAAATAAATGAATCCACTATAGAACAAGTATCTGTATATAGTTACTCAACCATTAAGTGAACATGGTATTATTAGCGGGAGTGAAAATAACAGATTTCATTATTTATTTGTATTTATAGCATTCAAGACAGAATACTTTTTAAAGACTTTTCATTTATTATTTGCTTTCAGTTTTAACAACAAACTAAATTTATAACCACTATTGTGTTTTATTTGATTGTTAATGTATCGTGGCACTATCTTAATGGGTTAATGGGAGTAAAATAGGAATTGACTTTAACGTCCCAGGTCGTAAGGCGTAAAAAGAGTCATCGCCACGACGGCAACACTAGAGTACCAAGAAATTGAGAACTCAACGCCAGAAGGCCCGGAGTCAAGCACCAGTATGGAAATCACAGTTGAGACGGTATAGAAAAGAGGCCTGCACACGAGCTAATGATCGGGTTTAAACCTACAAGGTTGTCAGTCTAGAACCTGACCAAAGAGTAGGAATTGCACTCACCAGATCAAACCGTCAACCAAACAGTCTGTATTAATATATTAACAAAAAATTAGAATACAAAATTACATCGAGATGGTTAAAAATTGTTACAATTCAAAATTTTATTAAGATTAACACCAAAATTTAAAATTAAAGTACTTAAATTTCGAAAAATTAAGAAAATTATCTTGCATTATTATTAGTTGGATTAGTGAGAGAAAAATAAAATTTATAATTAAATGTGGTTAAAGCAAAGCCCTCTCAAAACAACCAGCTGTCGACCAAGGGGACCATGGAAGTTGAGACTCAGCTATTTCAAGACTAACAGCAAAATTTATGGCAATGTGCTCAAAATTACACCCCAACCGTCTTTATTTTCCAGGCTTAATGGTACCTGCCTGAAGTTGGATAGACTTCTAATCGCCGCCAGAAATAGAACCCGGTTCTTCACAGTTATAGCTCTGCGCTATAAGCACTGTGCCATCACAACCTAATGAATTAATGGCTTTAAATAAAATAAAAATATGCTTTGAGCTTATGTAGATTCTAATAGCATATTAAGTTCTATTCAAAGCCAATAATGAGGTACAGGAAGAACCAGAACTTATTTACGAATTAACCTTAATTGCACATAGAATAGACAAATAATCAAATTTTCATTTTGTGACGTACCTAAGTTAACTGTTAATCGACCTTAAAGTCAAAACACAAATATTATTCTCATAAAAATCTTTTCTTTGCTCCAAATGTAAACAAAAATCGATTTTGAAATGTAGTGATGAGGTTTCCCTTCCTCATAAAAATACATAGCAAAACTCGTTACAATAGATCCGGTTGAACATCTTTCCTTGCTTCTGAGATCACCTTGCTTAAGAGACCTGTTATGAGTCAAACAAACATTCAAAACGAAACAGTCAAAAGGCTCCGCCTCATTCGTATATATATTTTATGCCTCTTAACAACCTAATCAACTATGACGAGAATTATTAATACTGCATTTGATTTGATCAATCCCTAATTTTGTTCAACTCGAACGCAATATTAATAATTCTAGTTGATATGGTTGTCAGCAGGTATGGAATGGCTAGCCCTTATTTTGTTATTAAGTTACTTTTTCAATTATTTGCAACATTGTAACTTTTTTTTTCAGAAACGAATGGAAAAGATGAAAGCAAGATTTCTTGGATTTTGCTATTCCTCTCATTACTGCTACTTTTAGCAAATAAATGCACACTTAGAATACCAACGTAACAAGAACTACTGTGCATAGAGACAATCAAAAGTTGCATTGCTTAAAACGACAAGAAACCATGGAAGTCTTTCTTCTATTTACCATTTAAACCTGGTTTACTGATTGTACAGTCGATATATCAAAAATTACAAATTAGAATGTCTGTTGTACATTTGAAAGCACTATTTAACTACTGGCGAGATTGTCTTGCAAATGACTAAGAGCTGGAACACAATGGATATTTTCAAAGAAGGAAAAAGGAATGATTTATCTTAAAAATGCATGCAAAGAATAAATGTCTTAATTTTATATAAATAAAACTGAGATTTTCTGTACCCAAATTGTGGGTATTACTTATATATACAGTGAAACGTGCCAAGTTGACTACCCCTGTCAGTTAACCACCTTTCTAAGTTGATCTCAATTAACAAGAACTGAATTTGTCCTGTATAACAAAAGGGAACAGAGCCTTTGTAACCAAACCACCAGTCTATCTTGTATGTAGACTTCTAAAATAGGTGTCAAATTTGTCTAGGAGTGTTATTAAATGCTAGTCTAAGACCTCCATAAGTTGACTGGAGAAAAACATCTTTTCAGAAAATTTTTCTAGGCTATTGCGATACGCAATGAGTGTGAAAAAATAAATGAAACACCCTGAATGACTTTAGATCTAATGATCGGATTTTCACGTACTAGGACATGGATTTCAACTCTGCTAATTAAACATTGTTTTTTTTTCTTTTGCATCTTGCAGATGCATTGTTTTTTTGTTTTCTTTTTTTGTTGTTTTTTTTTCCTTTAATCTTTGGATAAGCGAATTTTACAATTGTGCGCAAATTTTTTTTCAATTCGCTTAAGAAGTTCTCGAGACATCGTAAATTACACAAAAGGTAAAATTAACAATATGGGGTCCTAACTTTCGACCGCTTTTCATACCAAACTATAGTTGATCAGGAAAAATGGTCCTAATATATTAGGACCATTTTTCCCAGATTACGATTATCTTCTATGTGTGTTTGATTCTGCTTTCGTTTTTATTTTCGTTTTGAGTACGTTTTTGAGTTTAAAGTATCGTCTGTACTAATTTTTTTTAGCATATTTGAAGTCATCTCCTTGAACTATTAAGTTTGAGTTATAGTACATGAAAATCCGATCATTAAATTAAAAGTAATACAGGGTGCTTCGTTTTTTTTTTTTTTTTTTTTTTTTAAAAAATTTTATTATANACTTTTTCTTTTTTTTTTTTTTTTTTTTAAAATTTATTTATTTTTTCCTTCTTTCTTTTTCCGCGCTGTACATTAGAATTTTTCTGAATCGGTAAATTAGTATTAGAAGCTATCCTAAACCCTTTTGTGAGTTGACCGTATGAAAAAACTATTAAGGGCTTTTGTAACAAAATTAATAAGTATAACATCAAGTTTAAAATGTTGAAATGCGTATAATAATGTTATGTAAACTATTAAGGGTCTTTGTAACCAAATTAATAAGTATAACATAAATTTTAAAATGTTGAAATGCATATAATAATGTTAAATATTTAGTGTTTTAGAAAATATATATTTATAATAATAAATATTGGGCATGCATCACACTACTAGAACATTTTTAATTTAACTATTAAATTATTGTAACAATATTAATTCATTTTAGTAATTATTCCTTCTTCTTATAATGTATGAGATATTTGCTAAGAAGTCACGTAAAAATGTTTTAATTGTATTTATCTTTATTTCGATTAATAATATGTAAGAAACATAAATAACATGATAAATATGCAAGAATAACAAGTAAAAAATCATGGGGAAAAAAATAACTCGTCCCCCTCTATAAGTTGAGGCCTAAAGTCTGCCTAAGTTGACAACTAAACCAGCATATTGCAAGTAGTCAACTTATACAGGTTTCACTGTACTATGTATACCATCGAAACATATACGTTTTCCAATTATTTTTTAATTGGTATTTGTTATTTTCGGTTTTTAATATATATTATAGTCTTTAATTATACCCTTAACTTCATTCGAGATATTGCTTCCTAATTATGTTTATTGTTTAATTATCAATTAACATGGTTGCCATTAAATAGAATGATAAACTAAAATAAAACTTTAAGAAGAATATTTTCTCTTGATTTACGATTGCTATGGTTCAATCATCCATCTAAACATTTGTATGGAACATTTGTATTGTATAAACATTTGGATTTGGATTGTATAAATATTTGGATGTGTATAAACATTTGCATGTCATTTGTTGATAAATGGCATATGGTTTGTTTTTCTCATATGTTTATAAACATATGGCAGAAACCAAAGTTCACAAATAATACATTAGAATTTAAATAGTATACGAGATTCGATGTTACATTGGAACATCATCTTCAGTAAATAATAGAATACAGAAAAAATAGAGAAGGAAAAAAAAACTAAGAAAAAATGGCTGAAATTTATTGTGATGAAAAATGTCTATTTCAACTATCGAGATATTTTTTGTGAAGTTTGACATTTAGCTTTTGGCTGTCATCATCACAAAGCTTTTATTCTTCTTAATTAAGTCGTATCTTGTTTGAAGTACATTACTCATTAGTTGATTGTCATTGATCTAAATTAGCAATTTTTTGTGAACATTTGAAGTTTAATTATTAAACGTAAAAACTAATTTATTTTACTTCTTTTTCGTTGTGTTTACATAAATTGCTATCATATAAAAACATTTGGGTATAAAGTACAAATTAAGATAAAATTAGAATTCGTGGGCAATATTTCACCATTTTTCATTTTGAATGTTTCTATGCCAAAAATTCACTGGGAAAGAAAACACAATGTGCATATCAAGGACAGAGTATTATCTATTTCAAACACTAGTCGAATGTTATAGATACTTTGTTAAAATTTATTTTTTAGTTTGTATGACATGACTGGTTTCAACATGGATGACAAAATATTCTTATTTGTCTCATAACTCTTTAACCGTGCTATGTTTTGCATCAGTGCAATGTAAAATTCTGATTTCTATAAAAATGCTGATATTTTCTTTTTCCAAAACAATTTTAATGTTATCTAACCTACTTTTGAGTACAATAAATATGATCTCGACATCAACACCTTTTAAAGATATATTTGGAATCAACAACACCATTTTAAAATACTAGTTATATTTTTCAATGATTTCATTTAATTTATATTAATAAAATAAGTTCTTATTATGCAAAGAATAGAAAACTATTGAAATGTGTGCTAAAAGATATTGAAAGAATAGATCTAAAAATTGTATATATAAAATATTATTCGGTGTAAAAATGTGAAAATGATTGTATTGTTTATTGTTTAAAGATGTCAAATTAGACTGAATTAAAAAAAAACAAATATTACATGTATATAAGAAAAATTAAATTAATATAGCATACTGTTTATATCTGTGTACTTAAAATAAACACGAACATAAAATTATTTTCAAATTTAAGAGTAATAACACGTAACAAAAATAATCAATTACAGAGGAACTTGAATTACTACAAAAAGGAGGGACACCAAACGTGCTGATTTCTATGAAAAAAAGATCCCCTATTTTCCAAGACAAGAGTCATATTCAGATCATTTTATAGAATAGTCAGCACAAATGATGCTGGGACTATTCTCATGCAATATAATTTACTTTGAATGCGTTAAGTCTAGAGATTATAGAAATTCATTGTCCCTGTGGGGAGAGCCATACCGACAATGACAACCTTCATGTATGAAAAGGTACCCTTGAACTTGAACTGGAGTCGAATACAGTGTACCTGTCCGCGAGGCGAACACTTCACACTTTCATCTGAGATGATGCCCGTAGGCGCCTAGAATAATGTCTTTGTAAAAAGAGAAATGCCACAAGTAAATTGTGGTCGTCTTATGTGGATGTAGGCTTGAAGGTGCTTCTATGACTTATCTGCTAGTAGGGATTTGAGAAGGTTCAGGAGTTCCTGATCCTTTAGTAGCTGTTGTAGTTCTTTGAAGATAAACAGGAATCTGGTGGCTTTATCCGAGGTGTTCTCGGGCAGGGCTGAACCTCTAGGTTGTCTTTTGGGTCTTGCACCGCAGCCAGAGAAACAGGCTGGGTGCTCACCGTCACAGTTGATGCACTTTGCCGGCTCGCATATCGGTTTTGTACAAAGGTACGTGAAATGCGCATTGGCACATTTCATGCATGCCGGTTCAGCGTTACATGACTTCTGCGTATGTTCGTATTTTTGGCAGCAATAACATTGAAAAGGTACCCCAACATGCCTTATATACTAGTGAATTGGAATTGTATGTTTGTAGTGGTAGACACACTAAATCCCCTTTCATAATAGACTTTATAAATAAAGAAAACTATGTATAGACACGATTTATTTAAGATGATCCAACAGTATACCGAACTACACTACAGTAATAAATAAATGGATGAAACAATAAATTTTATACTAGAATTCTTTCCCAGAACCAAAACAATCGACTTTTATTTCCTGTTTACAGAAAATTTATGATTTTGTAATTCAAGAATTATGACGGCTTCGTGCGAAACATCTACTCTATGAAAATACATGTGGAATATAAAACATCCCTCTACATTCATTAAATCAGTTATACAGCAGTAAACTTAAAGTTCCTACGTTATAAGAAGTCATACAATAATAGGCATAATTTCTTTCATAGTTTTTTAATTTCATTTAAATTAAATCCTCTTACTTACTTTCATGTACCCAGGAACAAATGGAAAATATATATTCTTTTTGTAACTGAAAACGCACTAACATAAAATTCGAACATTTTTACTACAAATTCATAATGTCCTTTAAGTTATACATTTCCCCAAATTACTTTAAAATAAACAATTTCTTTTCATTTATTTGAATTTTTTTTATGGACATAAACACCCTAATTATGGATATCTCCCTGTGAAGTGGCCGCGGTCTTACTCCCTTTTCATATGAAACAGCTTCTCTTACTCATTAAATTTTACACTTCGATTTTGAAATTCGACCGAAGTAGTATATAAAAATATATTTTCCCACCACAGCTTGAGCTAATGATTCGGGAAGCGTTTCATTTATTCTATTTTATATGTTCTTGAAAGAATGAAGTTGAATAATTACACTATCTTTCGATTATATAAGAGAAAAAGTCAGTTGTTGACATTTAATTACAATTCTCAAGAAATATTTAATAAATTTATTTTATATAACTTTAGAGGTGTTTTAGATCATACGATTTCTCATACTTATCAAAAATTTTTAAAGATTACAAGAGTTTAAAGAACTGGCAATAAAGTACGAACGAAAACAAGTATTTCTAAACAACTTTTGCCGGAAAAAATTGCAAAGTTTCATAAACTTCGCTTAAAGATTTATGTAGATATAGACATTTTTATGTAAGCCTAATTTTTTGTCTTATTTTATTTTTATATTTTGGCTATCACTTCAAAAATATTCTATCATATTTACAAAATTATTTTAAAATGTGAAAAAGAATCGTTAAAAATTGTGCCAGATGTAAGCATTTAAAAAGAATTCTTGCCCTATAATGCACATGCGCAGAAAAATAAAAAAGGAAAGAAAAAAGTTCATAATTTTATAGTTAATCGCATTTAGTAACTAAAGAAAAACAAACCTATTTGAATACCTTGAAAATTTAAAAAGTTTCAGGCAATTATCTAAGTAGTTTTTGTACATTTTTAAAGAAAATTCTGAATGATAAAGGGTTTTCCACAAA